AAAAAAAAAAAATTATTTATAAATAATTGTAACTAATGGCCTTTGTCGCCGATGTTTATAAGAACAATAAATAAAAATAAAAATAATAAACCTACATAAGAAYATTAAATGAAATCATTACATACCTCAATTGAAACCAAATTTTTAATCATATGAATTGATAATTTTTTTTCAAATTAAAAGTAGAAATACATGATTTGGAATAAAAATTAATATTATCAATATTACGATAGTTATAGAAATTTGTTTATACCTCATACTTATGGGTATCATTTGTAACTATTTATTTTAAATATTAAACAAAGCTCTAGAAGTCTATAGAATGAATAAAAGTCGTTCAATAATACACATAGTCATGGGCCACAGGTTGTCACTGTCACGGCAAACTTGGCACAACCTGTTAGGACGCCTAAACCGCCCTAACCATTATATATACATATATAATTTATAAGTATATATATATACATTATACACACATTGTATATACCCTACTCTGCAGTGCCATTATTTCAGTTTTAAATTTAGAGAGATAGTTTTGACTTGTCCAAATGGGAAAAAAATATAAAAAATAAAATTCACTCGCTTCATTCGCCTACTCTAATCTTACATTTTTATCAAATTACCCTTCCCACTTTACATAATATGTTATAAACTTTACTTTAAATTTCACAATCCTTCTAGTTAATTAAGTTACAACATAATTTACAAATATAAGATTTTTTTTTTTTAACATTTATTAGAATATATACAATCTGTAATAATGGTTACAATAAGCATATGGGCTGAATTTACAGTTGTTGTGAATGCGTGAGGTGAGTAGCAACCCAGCGGTAACACTCGACCACAAATATAAGATAGCCGATATTTTATGTAAGGAATTAAACTTACAAATAAAAAACTCTATAAACTACTATGACAATTTTTATTGATTATTAAAACACGTATTAACACGTMAAAAACTTTTAATTTTAATATACTAAACTAAATTCAACTCAATTATAGAGAATAGTAGGTACTACATGCCTGTCATAAAGGAATCTGAAATCAACAACGAATCAGAGTGCCGATCGTTTGTTGATTTTAGAATTCGYTTGATTGTAGATTTTAAAAATAAATTATGTGATCAATCATAATTATTCATTATATTAATTATTATTATTGYTGTGCACACAACAGTGTTTTATGTKCCTTTTCTTTCTCAAAACAGTATACACACATAATACACATATACATACCAAATTCATGTTCGTTGCCGCATACGTCTAAATCTCTAAATATAAATAATAAATATATTCCAACTATTATAACTCATCAATTTATAACTATGACAATAATTTCTTAGTAAGTGTACAGTAGTATTTTCTCTAAATATTATGAAAATAGGCATGTATTGTAGCTAATGATGATAATATTATGTAAAATAATATACTTAACTAATAATGTTATATGTGCAGAAATCGAAAATTTGGTGTATGCCTAATAGGAAAACAATACGATACTAATATACCAAAAGGCTAAAATACAATTATCAATACGTAAAAGTAATAATAAAGTAAAATATTATAGGACGTAGGTAACGACATAAAAGTTTCTAATATTTCAACGATTTACACTCCAACGAAATATATAATTATGTATCGAAGAAACTTTTTAATGGTTTTATCAACTTTTTGTTTTATTTGTACTTTAGTTTTTATTATTATTAGTTCATCATGGCTTGGTATGGCGTGGTTGCTGCATTCATTCACGGAACTGAGCTAGTGGCAACACGCGGTGCAGTTACGGTCTGTAAATACGCCTCCCGGATGGGTGACCACCCGGGTTCTAAGTGACAAAAACCTTGCCACACATATACGTGTTCCAAAGCCAATCGTATACTCCTTTACAGTTAAAAACCCTACAAAAATAACCACCCAATGGCCTATGTTGCCGCGGATTAATTAATTTAAAAAAAAAATTATTAGTCCAATTCTATTTTACAAATATTTTATGAATATACACGAATGAATGAGTACTAAAATGTTTATAGAGTTGTAATTATAGTAATAATTTGGTAGTTGTTATTAAAATTATAATAAACTATAGCATATGATAATTCTAAGTGTACCAAGTGGGCAAGTTCAGTATTTTTATGAAAAAKTCACGTGGTTTCTTTTTTTTAACGATAATGTGAATTTGTGATTAAACTGGTTTAAATAGTTTTTTTGTCGTTGTTATAAGTTCTGCCTTCCACGTACTAAAAATCCAAAATAACTGAAAATCGGCGGTGGAATAAGATGAAAAAAGTGGAGACATATGTCATCTTCAAAACACAATAATAATAATATCTCACACAAACAAACACTTTACATGTAATATTGTATTTTATATTACGAGGAAGAGTAACAATTTATTCAAATGTATTACCATTTTTGGCTGTTAACTGATTAACAAGTTAAAATGTTAAATCGTACTTTTATCGCACACGCTTAGATTCCAATTTTGTTTTGATGACGATTTGCATTATATTTTTATAGCTATATAGGTACTATTGGTAAGTGTTACGTGAGCAGCCGTCGATCAAAAATYGCGGGAGTTACTCAGCGTGTTAATTATTATCGGACAGGAGGTTTGCGTAAATACAAGATATTTTTTACTTTGAACTACTCGTATGGATTATATTAAACACAACACAAAGTATAACATTACTGGGGGCGGTCGCGACCAATATGGGAATAAGGTATATATATGTAAATAATTATAATATGACAATAATATAAATATTATATAAGTGGCTGACAGCCGAAAAACAATAAGTTATAAAATATAGGTACAGTAAATAATAAAGGGTATGTGYCTGACAGGCGACACAGCCGAYTCACAAAACCATCGGAGGTTGAATATGGTGGTCCATRCTCCAGGATGATGTCGTTGGTATGTGTAGACGGGTTGCKGTAGAAAATGCACACTAATAATTTTATGACACGCACAACCACAATACGGCACGTCCGCACCGTTGGTCGGACAAGACTGGTTGGTGGTGTGCGGTCAGGCGGTATTAGGTTCGCCGGCAACCGAAGCCTTTATTTTTAGTGCATGGACGATGGACGTAATATTAAGTTATGTAATGAATTATTTGTGTCTGTATCCAACAGTAAGTGATAGTATTAATTAATTTTTTTGTTTTTGTTATTGATGTTATCATATATCCGAATGCCTTATTTGATGGAACGAAACGAATTAATATTTTTATGAAAATATTGAGTTTAAATGTAAAATAGTTTTTCTCGAGTTCAAAACTACCTATTATGCTTAAAAACTTCATTTTTCCTCCGCGTATTTACTAAATAGTAAATATTTGACCCTKTTTGGCCATTACATATTAATGTGGTCCTATTCTTGTTTRTACTTTATTGCATATTATTATGTGAGACGTAAGAGTTTTTTTTCGCCTTCATCACGTCATTGAGTAATCAAATCATTTAAGACTCGTAATATTTATGTGTATACGTATATRCTACGAATTTCATCACTTACTTATATTACGTGTTATAGATGCGTATAGATGTTATAGTCGCCGTTCTAGTAATGGTTTTAATTTTCAACACATACTTACGACCTACCTATTAAATGTTTAATGAACGTTTATTGCTGATTATACCTAAGATTCATTTGATAAATGATGTGCACGTCATGTAAACCGGGAAGTTACGAGTTAACTTATAGTGAGAATTAWGTATTTATGTATACTTGTTTGGATTTAAAATTGTTTTCAATTTACGATTGCTGCGATATTATACGTGTGCGCGATGTGCATGTAATGAGATTACGATGAAGAAACAGGCCGACCAGACATCCTCTGAACTATAAATACGCTCGTTTATTTCGAACGAAATTTCAAGTGTTTAAGACGTTTATTGATCTGGAATTCTGTGACTGCACTGTGTTATATTTTATACCCATTTATATTCGTTCAAAAGTATTAGAGTTATTTACACCGTGATCGTATATTATATACAATATACATATTAGAAATTTATAATAGTTATATATTAATTATTTATGTAATATATTATCGCACTTTGTGTAAGTTACACAGTTAAAGTTACATCAGTTACGCCCCACGTCCTTACACCGCCCACAACCGGCCGAGTCAGATCCTGCGTTTAAAAGCTATTCGTGTATTATAGTTTCTAAAGTTTCTATAATCTACCTATATGATCCATATTATGATAWAATAAATAATAGCAATAATAGTAAACCGATATCGGTCATCGACGAGACTAACGTCTTGTACTATATAAATATAATAGTGTATAAAAGTAAATTAATTTAGTTAATTGGTCACGATCGAATCTTGAGCGTAATATGCGTAATACATCATACGAGATGGTCTTTTTACGCATATTATTGGTCGTGCACACTCGTC